AAAAAAATCTCATAAGTGTAATAATCCATGAAAATCAAACACACCAACAATGAAATGAAACTGTAGAACAATTTACAAATGGTCTTATTGATTTTGTTGTTCATTATGATTTACCGGATACAAGTGACTTTTATATTCGTCGTATTGGTCGAACAAGTAGAATGAATTATAAGAAAAAGGAGAAATAGTTTTGAAAATTCCTTTTTTTGCATAGGTCATGCTGGTTAATTGAAGAAATCCATATGATTTTTTTGATTCCGATCGATAGTCTGGCAGAAAAATTGCTCTTGAATTTACACTAAAATTATGCCAAGTATATTTTGTTCTCTAAATCGAACATGAATTTTCAATTGATTTCTTTCAATAGGATGACCAAGCAACATCAGAATTTCTTAAAAAATATGGTGATGTGGGTACTATTGGATTTTATCATGATGACCATAGGTCGACGAATAGTAATGTAATACTGTTAGTGTGGGTATATGGGATAAGACATACACCTACATTCCAACTCACACCCACCGTCTGTTGACTAATTAAACTAAGAAGTATTTTTAATAGATTTTAGATCGACATTGTTGCTGAAAATTTTGAGCGCGAGGAAAGATTTTTAAGGATCTTGTGTCATGTTCAATATGTCCTTTATATTTAGCCAATAGTCTTTAAAGCAAGGCTAAAATTTTTGATATATAGATAGATTTTATATGCTCTTTTATATCATATTATCGAAAAGGTGTAAAGCAAAATTTTTCAGAGGAAAATGATTTCTCGATCGAGTAATAGATTGTCTCTTAAAATAACTTTGAGAAATTTATGAAATTCTTATGAGTCATCCACAATAATCAATCGTTACCGTTCTTCATTAAAAGTATAACTCATAAACATAGTTATTGCTTTTTTTGTCTTTACTATTCAGAGAAGTAATCTTTTGTGGTTATTACTCAACATTTTCTTTAATAACAACTTAGAAAAAAATTCTTTTGTTTGTTTTTAAAATGTGATTACTGTGCTTCAAATAAAATGATTCAGAATGGAAAAAAGAGAGAAGAAAAATAAATTTGCACTTGTACATGAGAGTCACAACAAAAAAACATGTATAAATTACCGACTAGAAGTAAGAATATTTAGAGAAAATAATTGTAGAAAAATGCGTTCAATAGAACATTTGCTTTCCACAAATAGTAACCTTGTTTGAAGTAGACATTATCAAACTCTATTCAATCATTAAGATAAGATTTATCTTGCTTTATAGGTAAACCTGGCAAAACATCATTTTTATTGAATATGAGAATAATATTTTTCTTCACTCAGTGCATATACCACACTCACAAGTTAGTATTCAAAAATTGTAAATAAAGAAAAGAAACTATTCTTTTTACAAAATTTGACAAGTATGAGAATTAGCTTTTTAATTATTATTAGATGATGACAATGTTACTTCCAGTTTGTTTCTTTTTTTGAGATAAAGTCTTTATTATTATAAAATCATTTTCTCTTAGTCAACAATGGAATCATTTGCCTCATTTGTAAATTTTCGATTCGATACTTGTTTTAGTGTAAATATGACTCTCAATTATTGATTTTACAAAATGTTAATATTTATTAATATTAATTAATTTGAGTTCATTTTCTAATTGATTATTTAAATAAAAATAATTCATATTAATTTATTGATCAATTAGAAGAATGTACTCTTTTTTTTTATCTTTTTAGTAAAATTTTATATTAATTATTCAAATATTTTTATTTATTTTAATATAAATTTCAATGATCAATATTCTTTAGTAGAAAAATTTCAATAATAAATAAACAAATTTTTTTCCCATCAAATATCAATTAAAAGGTTTATCTTGACAAATATAATAATTGTCAATCACATGGATTATTCTCTAAGTGAACAATTGTTTTTTTAAAGAAATCTTTTTATTGAATTAAGGTTGAACTTAAAACAACTCTTAGTCAATTTTTTTTTATCAAAGTAAAAATTTTTATAATTAACAGATCTATTTTAGTGAACTTTTATGTGGATAATCTGTGGAAAGCTTTTATTTATTTAAAAAAACAAACATGACGAAGAGAGTTTTAGATTTCTTTCAAGAAAGTCTGGTAAAGAACATTCTTTCATTATTGACATTTATTTGTTCTTTTCGGAAGCACAGAGTAATAGGTGTTTGCATGAAAAAAAAACAAGATATACTATAACTGGACTTTGTTATATAGCATTAAGAAAATTTTATGCTTTCTTATCAATGATTTGATTTGAGGAAAAGCTTCATTAGATGAGTGTCTAGATAAAAGATGTAAAAAAGATCAGGTGAGAAAAACAAAATTATTGATTGTTCAAAATTATTCTAGGTTATTTGGTAAGAATACGGCTACTTCACCGCCGAATTCAGTTTAGAAATGATCTTTTTTTAGTGACAGTTTCTTCTCATTCATACTGATAAATAAATATGTTAGTCAAATTAAGGGGAAATAAACTGATTTACAGTGATTTCTAGTAATAGAAGTCAGTTTTTGACAGATAAGAGCATTTCACACATGATGATATTGACTTCTTTCTAGATAAATATTATTCTGTTGCTTTTTTTTGAAATAGTTGATCTTTCAATAAGATAATAAATTTTTTTTACTAAAGTAATAATCAATGTCTTATTGCAAAAGGAAAATAATCTTACAAAAATTTGAATAATTTTTTCCTTCGAATAAATAAATTTCAATTATTTTAACATAATTAATTCGTGTATCATCTCTGATAAACTTGTGTGCAACTCTTTCTAATGACTAATCATTGATATAAAGAAGAATATTAGTATGAAAATATGTTTTTGTATTAAATAAAAATTCTTCTTTATAATCATCATGAACTTTTGAAATATCAACTGTAATAAGATAATTATATTTAACACTTGATGAATTTTCATTATGATTTATTGAATTATAAAGTTGTTTATGTTTTTTGTGATTGATGATAAATGATAGCGGAAATGATTGAGAGATTCGAATCAAAATTTCATACTCAAAAGAATGTTCACCATATAATGATAGTAAACGAACATATAGAAATAATTCACCCGAAAAATAATGTGTTATCTTTTGATAATATTGCATTTACGTCGAAATTTTTCAATTACATGTACTATTGAAAATAAATTTAATAGTACTATAACTTATGAATAAAATAGAAAGTTGTATCTTACCAAAACAACAATGCTACATCAATTAAAAGTTTTTGCTCTTCGTTGTAAGTATAAAACAACTGATAAGATCTTAAATAACACGTGTTTTTTTTAGGTCTATCGGCGAATTGAAATGAACCTTGAATAACAGAGATACAATTCGATAAAATTCAATAGCAGACGATATTCGTTTACATGTTCAACATATACAGATAAAATAGATTATTTGATCTTTCTCTTAGTCATTTATAAACATATTTACTAACATCTATTCAAGTTTGATTTGATCGTTTTCAGTCTAATCGATTATTACCTATTTGATTCAGAACAAAAATACAACAGATTCAATTTATGATCTTAAAAGATGTCCTTCAACAAACATACTTGATACACCTACGTTTTATTCAACAGTTCGTCACTCATTATCGTGAACAGTATCTGTACAATTGTATAGTTTTTCATCAACTTGTTGTGCTATGGGATGTCATTCAAAACGAGATGATATTCTTATATATGATAAAGATGAACTTATCTTATACAATGTTAATGGTACTTTAGTAAGTCATTAGTTTTTTATTTTTATTGTTTTTTTTCAATAATTTAATAAGATATAAATACTACGATTAAAAAAATTCATGGTACTCAATTAAATCATCTTATTTCTTTGACTTATGTTGTACAAGATAAAAGTATTTTTATTTGTTGTCATGATTCAAAAGAAATTATATGACAATATGTTTCATTAACAAAATAGAATTTAATAAAAATTTGATCAAAAGAAAACTTAGTAATAAAGATGATGCTGGTAAAATATAATAAATCATATTTTGATTTTTATTTAATTTTGAATTATTACTATTTTAGATATTCAATATGTTCGTGTTAATCTGCCTGGTTCACAACTTGATCTTGTTATTAAAAATAAAAACGATCAATTTCGTTTTGTTCTTTATTCACTGGATTTATCACATATATGTT